AGCCAAAGATAGGAGAGTGGAGGTGGGTATGGGTCAGGGGAGTTGTTGTTTTTCTTTCCCTGTAGGACAGGATCTCCTCTAATCGGTTATCTGGGAGAGGTCAGCCCAGTGTCATTCACCAGCATGCGGTGGTGAATGAACTGTTGAAAGGAAAGCTGTTAATGGAGGAGGACAACTGCAGAAAGAACCGCCACCCTACCCCAACTTTTATTACACAACAGGTAGTGAATACAGTATTCTGAACCTAGCTTTTTGTACTAAATGTAACTCGGCAATTAATCTATTTGGTCTATGCAGATCTGCCTCATACTTTTTAATGGCTGTACAGTGTTCCATTCCACAGACGTACCAGAAGCAATAAGCCAGAGATCTGTGTTTAGCTTCCCAAGTCAGCATTTTAGAAGCTGCTAAACTAGTGGCTAGTGATGCTTAATTTATTTGATGAAAAATTTCAAACATACAAAAATAGAGAATAGTCTAATGAACCTCCTTCCAGATTCAACTATAACCCAGATATTGCCACACCAGTTTGACCTATCGCTTTTTTTGCTCAAGCGTTTTAAAGCATATCCCAGGGGGTGCCTGAGTGGCTCAGATGGTTGAGCATCTGCCTTCAGCTCAAGTCATGATCTCCAGATCCTGGGATGGAGCTCCACGTTGGGCTCCTTGCTCAGCGGGGAGGCTGCTTCCCCCTCTGCCTCTGCCTCTCCCCCTGCTTATTATATTCTCTCTCTCTCTCTCTCTCAAATGAATAAAATCTTAAAAAATATATATTTAAAAAAAAATTTTTAAAGCAGATCTGACATGTAATTTCACTTCTGAATACTTCACTACACATCTCTAAAAATGTGGACATTCTTATAGAACCACAACTCACATACTTTAAAAAGAAATTAAAAATAATCCCTTGGGGGCGCCTGGGTGGCTCAGTTGCTTAAGCAACTGCCTTCGGCTCAGGTCATGATCCTGGAGTCCCGGGATCGAGTTCCGCATCGGGCTCCCTGCTCGGCGGGGAGTCTGCTTCTCCCTCTGACCCTTCCCCCTCTCATGCTCTCTCTCTCAAATAAATAAAATCTTAATAAATAAAAATAATCCCTATAAATAAAATCTTAAAAAAAAAATAATCCCTTAGTTTCATTTAATATTCATTTTATATTCAAATTCCAAACTGTCACTAAAATGTTTAATGATTTGATTCAGACTCCAAAAATGATTCAAAGGTGGTTCTTGTAATCTAACGCAGGTTCCTTCAGCCCCAACTTTTCATTTCATGCCGCTGATAGAGGCTATTTTAGTTGTTCTATTTCCTCCAGGGCAGGTATGGGCTTTTGATTGTATGACTGTATGTCTAAAAATATCTTTGTTGTCTTTACACTTGATGGACCCTTCGGATGACTAACTTCTGGGCAGGAAATCAGTTTCCCTCAGAATTTTGACAGCACTACTCTGTTTGTGTATCCATTAATGCTACTGAATAGGATGGGGCTTTCCTTATTCCTCGTTTGTAAAGGATTTTATCTCTAGAAGCTTCAGAACCTTCTCTTTACTCCTGATCATCTGAAATTTCAGGATGATGTGCCACCGTGTGGGCATTTTTCGTTCACTGTGTCAGATACCAGTTAATCTAGACACCAGGGTCCTTTAGTCTGATGTTTCTCTTATATTCGTGCTTTGATCATGCCGTCCTCTTTGTTTTCTGTTCTCTTTTTGGAAATCCTATTACTATGACTTTAGATAGATTGCTCCTTACATTTTTTTTTTTTTTTTATCTCTTCTCTCATATTTACTGTTCTTTATTCTACTCTGTCCTACTTTCTGGGAGATTTCTTATCTTTAACCATTTTTTCAATGTTGACAACCATAGTCTTAATTTCCAGGAGCTCTTGCTCGTTCTCTAATCTTTTCTCATGACCTCCTGGGTTGTTGTATGAATGCAAGATCTTCTCAGAGCTCACATAGTTAGTGCTTACAAAGTTTTATTCTACTGCTATTGGCTGTTTTTCTGATTTTTAATTTCCATATTGGAGGATTTCCTCATTGGTCTAGAGATCCTTGGTTGTCTTTTTTTAAAAAAATTTTTTAATATGGTACTTTTTAAATGTATACAAAAGAATAATAACGAGCTCCCCCATGCACCCATCACCTGGCTTCAATAATTAAAAAAATGTTGGCAAAATACTTATAATCTATTCCTCCTTCCCTCCGCACATACCTCTCCAAAGTTTGGGGTTTTGTTGGGTTGGGGTTTTTTTGTTTTGTTTCTGGGTTGTGGGTCTTTTTGTTTTCTATTGCTTTGTTTTTTGGTATCTGCTCTTTTTTTAAACAGTTCAGCACTAATCAGGAATGCTGTGCACATGGTTGAGGCTTGCTTACCGAAAGACCTCACTTCTTGTGGGTGATTCACTAGGGCAGCAAGCCTTTTACTTAAATGAACCCCAATGTCCATACACAGAAATCTTTTTTCCAGAGTCCTTCAGTTTCTTCAGAAAATAAAGTCCCGTCTTTCACCCAGGCAGCCAGTATCTGAGTACAAATGTGTGCATCAGCAAAGGGGAGGACAGTTCTATTAGTAACTTTCAGCCTCTACGCCTCTCACCATGGCTCTACACCACACCTCATGCCTCCAATTCCCAAGACTCTCTAAGGTTGGTAGGGGTGACTCATCTCTCTTCCTCTTGGTCTTCCCCTAAACATACATGCACTTCAAGTCTAGGCTTGCCCCACACTGAGAGACAGGAAGGGACACTATCTCCATCTCCTAAAGAAGAGGAATAAGAGATGCAGCCTAGAGCTGAGGAACAAGAAATACAGGTTTCACTGCAAGTTACAAAGATAACCAAAAGAGGAATTAAAATTAATAAAATAAATGCATTATGAGGAAGAAAAGAGTAGGAATTAGACCAAATCCTCGTCTTTCGCAAGGAGAAAAATAACACGAAATATACGGAGTATAAATCAAAAAACAGCAATATAAGTTTTTTGATTAGAGAAATGAAGGAAACCACCAGAATAAGGAAAAGTGGAAACCATGAAAGTGAGCGCCTACAAGAAGCAGCCAGCGACCAGGGTGAGGGGCTCTCACTTTTCATGAGGAGCCTGGATGTGCTACCTGAAGCTTTGGTCCATGTTCATGTATTTCTTTGATAGTTTTTTCTTTTAACCTAACAAGCATATCAGAGAAAGGGAAATTTCTTTAATGTTTTCCCATTATACTTAGGATAAAGACCTAGATCATTTAGCCAGCTGGGAAGTCTGTTAAAAACAACAACAACAAGCTTTTCTGACAATTATGAACACATGTTCAAGTAGTACAATCTCCAGCAGACCAATTCAAAGACTCACTGTGGCTGGAACAGCTTATAAAAAAGACGATTAAACTGAGAAACTAGATAGAAAAAGAAGAGAATGTACTTTATGATATTAGACTCCTGATTGATAGTTAACCGGCGGATAGGTGACAGGTTTCCCAGAAGAAGTTTAAATACTACCAAAATTTATTCAAAAATTACTTCAGTGGGTTTTTTCCCCAGGATTATGAATTTCTTCCCAGAAGGAGGCTATAAATTACATCATTAAAAAATGTTTTGTCACAGATTGGCTTGGGGCAATTTTTTTCTTTTACAGGTCTCCCAACAATGGAAATGTTCTAGATCTTTGATGTTTAATACAGAAGCCAGTCACATGTGGCTACTGAGCACTTGAAGCATGGCTAATGTGAGTGAGCAACTGAAGTTTTAATTTTATTTAATTCTAATTTAAATTTAAGTAGCCACATGTGGCTACGGGCTACCACAGTAGACAAGTGCAATTCCAGACTCCATGGCTCCTACTCTCTTCTTACACTAAGCTCTCTCCTCTGTATTCCAGCCACTCTGGCCCACTGTCATTTCCTAAACACACATGCTTACTCTTGCCACAGGGCCTTTGCACCTGTGGTCTCTTCTTCCTAGAATGTTCTACTCTCCCCATTCCCCAACTTCTTCATCTGGTTAACTACGACTTCTCCTTCACTACCTAAAATCATCTTATCTGCTTATTTGCTCACTTCTTTATGGTTAAATTTTTGTCACTCCACCACTACCCACTCCAACCCACCCAAAAGGCAGAATACAAGCTCCATTAGAGCAAGGTTCCTGCTCACCTTGCCCATCATTGTATTCCCACCACCTAAAGACAACACTGCCTGACTCACAGTAGACAGCTAGTATCTACTGAATGAATGCCTTCTCATGATTTTAATTGTCCTCACTCTCAGAGACTCCCAATATCTACTATAGTTCCAATCTTGCCATTGCAATTTAGTTCCAAGTTTCCAACAAGCCCCATGAGCACTTCTACTTAAAAATTCCACTGTCGGGGCGCCTGGGTGGCTCAGATGGTTAAGCGTCTGCCTTCGGCTCAGTTCATGATCCCAGGGTCCTGGGATCGAGTCCCGCATTGGGCTCCCTGCTAGGCGGGGCGGCCTGCTTCTCCCTCTGCCTCTGCCTCTCTCTCTCTCTCTCATGAATAAATAAATAAAATATTAAAAAAAAAAATTCCACTGTCTAGGGGCGCCTGGGTGGCTCAGTCGTTAGTGGCTGCCTTCGGCTCAGGTCATGATCCCAGGGTCCTGGGATCAAGCCCCGCATTGGGCTCCCTGCTCGGCGGGAAGCCTGCTTCTCCCTCTCCCACTCCCCCTGCTTATGTTCCCTCTCTCGTGGTCTCTGTCAAATAAATAAATAAAATCTTTAAAAAAAAAAAAAAAATTCCACTGTCTACACATTAACTATTACTATCTGCACTCTGTTGCCAGATTAACCTTCAGAAAGCTTGGCTTTATCTGTGTCATACAACTCCAAACAAAGAAACCTTCAAAGAAATCCAAAAGAAAAGCCAATTTTGAGGCAAGAGTGGACACACTGTACATATTCCAACTTTCTTGGGTCCTTTGTAAACCAATACAAAAAGAAAGCAAATGGAAATTTCTCTGCCAAGATACAGAATGAGAAAGTGAATCTTACCACAAGTTCAAAAATGTCCATGAAGACAGAATGTCCCTTAGGTGTTTTCTCATTCAGACTGGCAGGAGACCAGATCCAATAGAAGTAAGTACCATCTGAAGAAAGGTGCACAGTGCTCATGGTGCTGCCAACAGGGAGATGATTGGCTGGCATTGGCACCATCTGGCACACCTGGACATGAAAGGGAAGAAAACATCATTAGGGTGACATACAATTTCTGGTTAATTCTATCAGTTCATCACTAATGCTATTAAGTCCAAGATCAGAATCCAATAGGCTTCCTGGTCAAAATAAAACTGCTATCTCTAAGAGATGAAAATTACATGACAGAAATATAAAAATTCATTCAATGGGGGGCGCCTGGGTGGCTCAGATGGTTAAGTCTCTGCCTTCAGCTCAGGTCATGATCCCAGGGTCCTGGGATCGAGTCCCGCATCAGGCTCCCCGCTCCGCAGGAAGCCTGCTTCTCCCTCTCCCACCCCCTCTGCTTGTGTTCCCTCTTTCGCTGTGTCTCTCTCTGTCAAATAAATAAATAAAATCTTTAAAAAAAAAGAAAAAAAAAATTCATTCAATGGGCCGTGTGACAGATAAAAGAAGCTAAAAATATCCGAATCTGCTAAGCAGGTGTGTTTTATCAAATATTAAAGACAAAGCTTTAGAGAAATAGTACTTGCTGAAATGTCCTAAGTTTTCCTTATTCCTCTGAAAAAGAATTTCAGACTATTAATTATATTTAAAAAAGGACAGGGACTATATCTTATTTACTTTTATATCCCAGCACCTAATTCAGAGTCTAACTCAGTTATTCAATAAATATGGAAGGAAGTGAAAAAGAGGGCAGAAGGAAGAGGGAAGGCAGAGGAGGGAGAGAAGGGGAAGGAGAAAGTAAACAAGTGAAGGCACACGCAAGACCCGAACCCAGCACATGCAGGCTTAGTGAGATGCACCCAGTCCACTGGGAGGAAAACGACAAACACCGATTCTCTGTATCAGACACGAAGGCATGTGTTTCTAATACTAACTATCCTTCAGTTTCAGTATAACGAATGAGCTTTGCAAGATTTCACATTAAATGTGTACTTACATACTCATTTTTTCTGCAAGAGAAAAGCCCTTAAAATGAGAGAAAATGGGGACCCAAAAAACTGCTGACTAGGTTTTTCAAAAATGCTGAGGGTAGGAGAACTGAAAATCCCAAAATAAAAATTAGAGAAGGTCAGATGCCTTTGAGAACAGTAAGAACCACTTTCAGTTACTCCAGCTCTCGAGGGGAGTCACTCATTTTCCTAAGGTTACTTCTGACCCTTGAACTCATTTCATATGAGCTTTTCTCCAGACTTGTTTTATCTATTTCAAAAGTTAAAAAGTAATGTAGTTGCTGTAACCACACTTTGTAACTTGTAGTGCCAGGAAATCTAGAAAGTTGACAGCTACTGATTGGCCTAAGATATCCCCAAGTTGCTCCAATGCACATCACCTACTTAGCGAAAACGTGGTTTTCTTGAACAAAATTGAAGTTTTTGCAATAAAACCGAGGAAATGGACATTGCCTCAAAAAAAAAAAAAAAACATGTCCCAAGATTTAACATCTGTCTAATTCCCAGGCTTATAATTCTACTTCAAATAAATATAGGACATATCCTCATCTGTCCGCATTGGCAATGAAAAATGAAGTCAAGGGGCACCTGGGTGGCTCAGTCAGTTAAGCATCTGCCTTCAGTTCAGGTCATGATCCTGGGGTCCTGGGATCGAGCCCCACATCAGACTCCCTGCTCAGTGGAGAACCTGCTTCTCCCTCCCTCTCCCTGCCACTCCCCCTACTTGTACTCTGTCAAATAATAAAATCTTAAAAAAAAAAAAAAAATGAAGTCAATTGGGCATCTATTTGTTAATTTGTTCTTTTTATTCCTCTAACAATTATTAAGCAGCTACTGTGTGCTTTGGAGATATGATAGTGAATAAGACGCAGTCCCTGTTCACCAGGAAAGGCACAGCTGAGTGACAGACAAAAGGAGATGCAGCATTCCACTGAAGTCCTGCCTGGAATTGCTCCCAGGGCATTCACCCCAGATGCGAACTCTAACCAGGCAGTTCACCTTTGGTTGAAAGGCAGGAAGGTGGAATGTAAAAAGCTTGAACTCTAGTGCTGAGAACCATGGGTTCAAGTTCTTATGCTGCCATTATTGTGTGGCCTTGGGCAAGTCCCTTAATGTCGGAGCTACATTCCTTCACTGAACAATAAACACTTGCCAAGTGCTTACAATATGCCTAGCCTCAGCTGCCTTGTCTGTAAGACGAAACTGCTATCGTTCTGTCTCACAGATAGGAGAAGTGTATGTAAATTGCCTAGACCAGGGCCCAGCACAGAGACACTGAAAAAGGACAGTTTCTATTATCAACAACCAAATGCTAGGCTCTGTGCTACATTCTAAGCACACAAAGATAGGTAAGACAGGGTCCAGACTTAAAGGCATGTATGGTAGTGGGGAAGAGACAAGAGCGGGTGACTGCAGTGTAACGCACCAAGTGTTGGCATGAGCGCCAGGTTTGGAAGCACTAGAGAGGAGCTTGGAATCCCTAACACGTAATGATTTTATCCAAACTCATCTCAAGGCTCCCACTGCCACAGAAAGCCTGTTTAGAACAAATCAAGTAAGGAAATGATGCCTTCCCAAAATAGATCTGGCAAAAGAACAAAGACAGCTAGTACATATACACACCACCTTTGACTCTCCAGAATTTTTTTTGATCGTAAAAATTTGTCGATGGCCTTAGAAACTCTTAGAGAGCACATTCACACATTCACACACATGTGGGGAAACTCTAAGATATCAGAGAAAACAGAATGCCTAAATGGTGACAATTAAAAGGATTGCCACTATGGCAGAAAACTAGATCAGCGGTGTTCTTAGTCCTTCTGATGAGGTCAGCAACTTCCTCTACTGTCTTCAAAATATAAAAAGACAACATCTTGGTTTTCTTTTTACCTGAAGGGTATTCTGGTCAATGACCTGGAAAAGGGAGTGAGGTTTATTATCAAAAGATACAGGCCGGTGGAGAAGATTACCACTGCCAAAAGCAACCCATCCTGGTTCCAGCTCCTCATTCCGGCAGTACACAAAACCTCTGCAGAGGAAAAAAAAAAAAAAAAGTATAGTGGCTGAGTAGGCAGGCAGTGTTCGAAACCACACAATGCGCTACAACAAACATTTTCCACCTAATTGTTAAAAATGACTATGCAAAATATCTAAAGGAGAATATACATTAACATTTTGCAACTGAAAACCTACAGCAAATATTAATTTTCCACAACAAATTAGAGAGGAGAAAAAGTTGGGGAAAAGATCTAATTAAATACATATAAGGATCTCAAACTGTGATTTCTTTTGGCAGCAATTCACAGATCTTATATCCCAACCGCAAAGCACTGTTAATCCAATGTGAAATCCAAGTACAAAAAAACTTAACTAGAAAAATGTCCATTCATCAACATGGAGAATTCACTAATATAGTAATTCTAATCATAGAGGAATTTCTGGCTAGAAACAATGACCTGAGGGCTACCAAGCTCTTTAAGAGTCAAAACAAAGCCGAAATGCATGAACAGAACAAGAGTCTACTAATCCGAGAAAACCCGAATTACATGAAGTTGTTCAGACTTATTTAGTTACTAGTCAGTCTTGGGGGTTGGGGTTGGGGGGGATATGCCTCCCAGGTGTCTTCTTCAGAGATTTATATAAGGAAGGAAATGTTCCAGCCAAATCATTCAGCAAGTTCCATGCAACTGACCTGAGAGTACCATGTAATCCAGACCCCAATTTGCTTACTCCTCTTCCAACTGAGTTAGTAGTATACAGGTAAAGACCATCTGCCGTGAGACAGCGCCCCAAGTCAGCATCTGAAATCGTTTTTTCACAAGTAAATTATATACATGCTTTTTCTAGTGAAATTATAAACGTGCTTTTTCTAATGAAAAAGCCATTAGGAGGTGGGGTGAGAGATAATCTCCCACCTCTAAAATAAGTGCTTCAATGTGACTTCCAGGAAAGACGGCTCTAACCCCCAAATCAAACATCCAAAATGCATGTGGGATCAGGAACCAAAATCAGCGAAAGAGGTCAAACAGGTAATAGCAGGAGAACCTAGTCCTGCCTGCCAAAAGTTTTCTTTTTTGAACAGCAAAAATGTCAAATTTATGCGTTCCTAATTCTAATCTGAAATGACTAGGACTACAGTACTTTCAATAATGATTCTGTAGTTTAAAAGGTGTGAGCTTTTAAGAGTTTGCGGCACTTACTAGTTGCCCTTGGGCCTTTTTGAACTTCAGTTTCTTTGTCCATAAGAGAAGGATAATATGTACATCAAGAGTCGCTGTGATGGTTAAATGAGATAATGCAAGTAAACACCAATTTACTCTCGGCTACAAAACCAAAGCTCCATAAATGGCAAATGAGATTATGTTGAAATACCAATGAAATACATGAACAAACCACATGCTTCTGTGGACTTCCCATCCAGCCACTATGTTTGCCCTTAGCTATATCCTCTGCCAGCTAAAACAAACAGTATCGGTCTACAGAACCATTAAATGGTTTACTAACTTACCTTCTAAAGAATTGGTCTTAAAAAGAGAGCTTATAAAACTTTTGGTATTTTCATAATCATTTCACTGTTTGTCTACTACATGTCATATTAAAGGAAACCCACACCACAGCACTCATTAGTGAGTATGCTGTTAAGAATTCAGTCTACTAATCCAAGACAACTGGAACTTAACTGTTTTCTGAGCAATCAGTTGTGAGTAATCATTTCTAAAATTAATTTCCCTCAAATATTTTAACTTGAAACATATAAATATCCATTCATTCAACCCTCTTTAGATTGAGGCTCTATGCCTTCTGAGAAGTCTGACAAGGGGTGGGAGCAAAAGGGACAGATTAAACAAGATTGGCCCCGAGCTGATACTTGTTGAAGCTGAGTGACGAGTACATAAGGTTGACTTAAAGCATTCTCTCAACTTCCACATCTGTCGAATGTTTCCATATTAAAAATAAGATTACTTTTCCTTCGGCTCAGGTCATGATCCCAGGGTCCTGGGATCGAGTCCCACATCGGGCTCCCTGCTCAGCGGGAAGCCTGCTTCTCCCTCTCCCACTCCTCCTGCTTGTGTTCCCTCTCTCACTGTGTCTCTCTCTGTCAAATAAATAAAATCTTTAAAAAAAAAAAAAGATTACTTTTAAAATTATAAGAAAAATATTCGCAGGGCACCTGGGTGGCTCAGTTGGGTAAGCATCTGCCTTCAGCTCATATGGGTTCGAGCCCGGCACCCGGCTCTCTGCTCAGTGGGGAGCCTGCTTCTCCCTCTGCCCCTCCCCCTGCTTGTGCTCTCTCTTGTTCTCTTCTCGCTCTCAAATAAAATCTTAAACCAAAAAAAAAAGAAAAAGAAAAAAAGATTCTCTAGGTGGAAGCAAAACTAAAGGTACAAAAAAAAAAACACAAAAACAAAAAAACAAACCTAAAGGTACAAGAGAGTGAAAAACAAGTAGATCAGCTTAACACCATCATCCTCAGTAAGAAACTACTCCAAGGGAGATATATTAAAGAAAGTAAAAGGAAGAACACGAAGGGGTTTGGTTTTGTTTAAAGATGTCAATTTCAGCCTCTGTTAAGAACTTCTTGGGTATTATTGCAGGCTTTTTTTGCTTCTCCCATGGAGTCTAGTTGCGTCATAGCTAAAAGTCTTGCCTGTTCCTCTTACCAGCTCACCTGACTATCTGTTTCAACAGTGACATGAACAGACACAGGCCCCGGGATGAAAGGTGCACAGGTGGCCTGCTGCTTAGACTACACCCCATGCCCTTCTGGTTGCCCCAGAAGTCTGCCTCCATCTAGGGTTCTAAATGAAAGGGTGGGCAGAGTAGGCCTCTGAATCCCATACCTAATTAACGTCAATTTCTTAGAGATTCACTTTGAATCTTTCCATAAGAAAGCTGAATGTTTTAGAAACAATTTCCTGGGGTGTTTTAAATTCCTATTTCATCAGTTATGTAATGTTTAATGATATAATCATGATACCAGTTACAACAGCAAACAGGTTTGCGAGCAGGGTGGACTCTTGGCAAGCCTGCAACTCCGCAGGTAGGAGCGGCCGTGCACACATGGCCTAGAAGAGGCTGCCCTGTGGGGCCGTGGTACCACTCAGTACGTCGACCACGCGATATGGAGAGGCCTCCTCCATCCCACAGGCCAGGCGAGTGAAGGTCACTTAAGAGAGCTGCTGCCATTTTCACAGAAATCAGAATAAACTGATATGGAATACTCGTGAAAGTGTAAAAACATTTTAATCCAGACCATTCTGTTAAAGGAGATACTTGATTCATGTTCCTTTGAACAATCTCTTGCTCTTTTTCTTTTGGGCGGGGGGGAGTTTAGGATGGGAGGGTTCATCAAAAACACTCCTAATAAATTACTAAAGGAAACAGCATCAGGCTCAGGCAGCAAGACCAGATATTCTGTTCACGGATATAAAAATTCAACTTGAGGCTCCCAGGCTCAAACACAAATACCCAGGAGTCAACTTAAGTAATTCATGCCTCCTAGGCTAAAGTATATGGATGATACCTTTCCCTTGCGATAGCAAAACCTATCCATTTTCTTACCTCACTGAGTATCAGCTTTTACACTTTTACTGATAAAGCAGACAATGAACATACTGTATAGGAACCTAGCGCTTTTAATTAAAAGGAACACAGTTCTATCTAAATCATTTGCCACAACGATCTAAAACCACTCTTTTCACATCTTCATTTCAATCACAGGAGCAAAAGCCCCTACATTACCTTTATTTTCAGAACTGGAGCCGGTGTTGCTATCTGGTGCAGGCAACATGTCTTCATACCCCCATGATACTATGTGTTTGCCACCGAGCAAACAGGAGGGGGATCCAGGCCCCCCTTCCAAAAGCAACAGCCTAAAAATGGGGAGATGGGAGAATCATAAAGACACTGAGACCATCCATTTCAGCAAGAAAATGAAAGTCATCTTACAGAGCAGACAACTAAAATAGGTTTATATAAATATACATCTGGAAAAACTATTCATGTTTTTAAATTTAAAAATTACAAAGCAGTGCTTACAGAAAGGTCATAATAAAGTACAGCTGTGTGCAAAACATATAGGTTTTATATATACATGTGTTGGGGGTAGGATATGAATTAGGAGGCACATATATCAAAACATTGAGAGGTTATCTTTCGATAATGAGATTATGAATGATTTTCAGTTTCTCCTTTACACCTTAACATACCTTAAAATCCATAAGAATTCATTATAAGCTATTACATTTTTCTTAAAAACCCACAAAATAAAAGAGAATTAGCATACTCTAGGAACACTTTCAAAGAGGGAAGATGACACAAACAAAATTCTTAAGATGAATATACTTAGTTTAAAATATGAATCATTCATTGATGAGTTTAGCAATCTACTTTTTAAAAGGCTTTATGCACAAATCTCCCTTATGTGTGTGGGGGAGATAAGGATCCAAAGTGATAGCTTACCTATATAGTACATCAGCTACAGGCAGGGACCCCAGATCAGTCTGTTTCTGTAACAGATGGACCGTATGGACAAAAGTTTTCAACGATCCCCTAAAAATAAAAGGGGGGAACAGAAAAATCATCAAAATTGAAAAGCTGAACAACAAGGTTAATTTTATTAACCACATGAGAGGGTCCCAAAAGGGGTCTATCCGCTTCCGTGGATCAGACCTATTGTACCAAATATACTGGATTCTTACAGATTACCACTGGCTCATACAAAAAGTTACTATGTGAGCAGCACCAATTATGCCAATTAGGATGTTCTCCCTGCATTTGTAAAGGTAAACAATTTTCTCCCAAAATAAAGGTTCAAAACCTAAGGCTCAAACAAAACACATGTGGCTATCATGCTTCAGCACCATTTCATGAAGTCCTTCTCTAGTCTAGAAGAGAGATTTTATAGAACAGGGTTATACTTAAAGTCTAACAGTGTTTCCAGGCTTCATTTTTAAATATCATTAAGTTTTGTTTTGTTTTTTTTAAGATTTTATTTGAGAGAGGAGAGAGAAGCAGACTCCCTACTGAGCAGGAAGCCCGACGTGGGGCCCGATCCCAGGACCCGGAGATCATGACCTGAGTTGAAGGCAGATGCCTCACTGACTGAGCCACCCAGGTACCTCTAAGTTCATCCATTTCACATAACATCTCCCCAAACTATCACATTAAATATGACTGCAAAAGAATACATTCAAATAATGTATTTTTTTATTAAGTCTACCCCAATGCGGGGCTCAAACTCACAAGCCTGAGATCGAGTCACACACTCTACTAACAGCCAGCCAGGCGCCCCGGAAATAAATATTTTGTGCTTAGAGGTGTGTTTCTTCTGCTTCCCTCGCTGTGAAGTATGTGACTAATGCTTGCAGAGCTCACCACTACCCAATTTCCTTTTGGTTCCCAAGGCTCAAGATTCTGGGAAATCTAGAATATGGTCAACAGGATCTAAAAGAAGGTGCTTTTAAGATGCACAGGACTTACCTGGCCAGATCCCAAGTATAAATCACCACAGAACATTTCCTGAACTAAATGATCGCCTGTATCAGATAGGCTGACTTCAGATCACTGCCTTATTCTCTTAGCCAAGGCTTTAATTGCTAGGTATCATATGCCTCAACCCCAAAAGAAATGGAATACCTGACACTGGACTGAGTAGGCTTGAAGTCCTCTTAATTACTCCTTTCACTACCTCTGGTGTTCAAAGAATCAAAACTAAAGAACAGTATAAAGCAGGAAGGCAGCAGATAGGGTCTAAAAGCTCAAGTTGGGAGTCAGGCCACTCACCAGCTACACCATCTCAACCCTGTCACCTAATTCCTATGGATTTTTGCTTCTTCATCTGTCCAGCAGGGCCATCTCCCTGGCATGCAGTGAGGTTAAAGGGGCAAAAGCACACTGGAACACTTAAGACCATTAAACCAACTATAAGGTATTATTACCTGCCAGACTGAATCACATTTTCAGAATAAAATTCAAACTCCTTCCATGGCTCCTAAGCCCCTACATGACCTGAGCCCTGCCAAGCTCCTCTCCTGCCCCTTTTCTCTACCACTGCATTCCAGCTCCTGGGTTACTTTGCTGTCCCCCTCAGCTACCCCAAGCACAGAAAGAGCATCCGAGTTGTGCCACCAGCTATTCTTCTTGACCAGAACACACTATCACTGACTTTTTGATGTCTGGCTGGCTCTTTCTCCTCATCCTGCCCTCTGTTCAATGGTCACCTCTTCAGTAAGGCCTTCCCTACTATCTCCAGCTAATTCTGTCCCACCCTCCACTTTATCATTCTCTATCAAAATATCCTGGTAGGTCTTTTTATAAGTGAATATCCCTCTGAAGTTATCTTATTCAGGTCAACTTTGCAATTCGAGGGACCAACCATCTTGCTCACTATTGTATTCCCACTGTCTAGAAGAGTACCTTGCACACGGTGAGAAATAATTATTTACAAAGTGAATCAGCCTGAGTCCATTCAACTGCAAGGTTTGAAACCAGGAATCACTATATTCCTAAGAATCAGCAAGGTTCCTGGCAAAGGTACTCAATAAATTGGTTTAACAAATAAGCATATTCAAAATAATTTTTTGAAAATGTTTTGTCTTTGAAAGCATCAATCTCAAAAGTTTGTCCCTAATAACCTCATTAAAATAGATGACCCAACTGAAAAGCTTAGGACTTCTGGAGGTAAAGAAAGTCCAGAATGAGGTGACAATATTAGCAATACAATGTAGGAACCATCTTTAAACACAAAACAAAAAACACCAAGAAGAAAATAAAAACATTCATTTCAACATTTCTGTATGGAATTTGGAATCTCCAGCACATGAAACAACTTCAGTAACTATCAGATTGAATGTGGGCACAATAAGTTTTTTGACTCCATGTTCAATAAATGAAAATGTTTAAAACTGAGTTGATTATTCCTAACATTCCAAATCTGTCTAAAGACAATCCTATCTAGAAACAAATTTTCGGGGTGCCTGGGTGGCTCAGTTGGTTAAGTGTCTGATTCTTGATTTTGGCTCAGGTCATGATCTCAGGGTTGTGGGATTGAGCCCCATGTCGGGCTCGGCGCTCAGCAAGGAGTTCGCTTCAGAGTTTCCCTCTCCCTCTGTCTCTCCCTCTGTTCACGGTCTTGCTCTCTAAATATTTTTAAAAATTTTTTAATTCTCTCAAAATGGGATTTTTAAAAAAGATTTAGGGGTGCCTGGGTGGCTCAGTAGGTTAAGCGTCTGCCTTTGCTCAGGTCATGATCCCAGAGTCCTGGGATAGAGCACCACATCGGGCTCCCTGCTCAGTGGGGAGCCTGCTTCTTCCTCTCCCTCTGCCACTCCCCCTGCTTGTGTTCTCTCACGCCCTGTCAAAATCTTTTTAAAAAGTAAATAATAAAAATAAAATTAAAATTAAAAAGATTTATCTATTTGTAAGAGAAAATGCACTCGCATGCATGGGGCGGGGGGAGAGGAGGGCAAAGGGAGGGAGAGAGACAATCTTAAGCAGACTCCCCACTGAGCACGGAACCACGACATGGGCCTTGATCTCACAACCCTGAGACCATGATCTGAGCCAAAAATCGAGAGTCAGATGCCCAATCGACTGAGCCACCCAGGTGCCCCCCAAAATGGGATTATTGTATTAACAAGTCTATTGAGGGTTTGAAATGGTCTACAAATGCAAACTATCAATCTAATATAAAGCCTTTCCAGGAAAGCTTATTTCAGTGCTACCCAGTAATGTCTCCAGATTTAAGCTCATGTCAGGACTTCCACAGTCAACCCGTCTTCAGAGATCTAAAACTAGGCTATGACAGTTTGCTCAGGGCAAAGAAACTGATGGTGCCATTTTGCCTTAAAAATAGCTTGAGATTCAACCATTTGAAGGTCAACTTTGAAACCATAAAAATAGGGGAAGTCTTACAACCAAGAACTTCATAATCTTCCAAGAAGAATTTTCCCACATACACTTTGCTTAAAAAAAAAAAAGAAGAAGAACTCTAAAGGGAGAAGCACAGATTAGTGACATTAATTGGTGACACTAATCTGTCAGACCATGGTCCTAATTGGTCTCTAGACAACTAGCTTAGAGGCAAGCAAGGGCAGTGAACCTTTTTCTCACAAAATTGTGCCAATGATCATACAGGTTACTGGGCAAGAGAATGTAGAGACCCTCTCCCAGAAAAGTAACTCCAACATTTCCTACTGATATTAGATCAGTAACGTCTGCTTACAAAGGATGGCACACTATTAAATCTGGACAAATACAGAGAGATCTTTCAGTTAAATTAATGGAGGCAAGCATCATGGTCCAGAAATATAATTTGTGACCAAGCCTGCGTGACTGAGTCCAGGTAATAACCCACGCACTTGCTGAAACACTCCTTGTAAGACAGCCATGAAAAAAAATTAACAGCTCTACCAATTTTCTGACCATCCTTCCAGGAGAAATATAGATATACCATCCTCCACTAACTGCTGGACCTAAAGCACTAGTCATCTAGGGGGTGAGTAGATAACAGCAAGGGTTGGCTCTCCTTTTTAAGCTCCTTCAGCTTTATCACAGGATGGCAGACAGCAAACACTTGAACTTAGGCTCCAGCTCAGGGTCCTGGTGCCAAGTTTTGGTGGAAGTATCTTATGCACTGTCGAGGCTGTGAAATTCAATACTGCCAACAAAGAAGGACTACTGGATGTTAAGACTTCCATCACATAGGCTTGCCTCTCACTCACCAACAACCCCCCCCCCCGCCCCCCACCGGCAGCAGCCGTCACGAGGCCACCAAGGAGTACCTCTGCTGGTCCTTACCTGGCACAGGCCAAAGCCACCAGAGCAGCAGCGGCATTTTCTTTTTGCTTATGTGGGATGTGTCGGCCGGTGTCAGCAGGGTCCTCTAGCCAAGAGCACAGCAAAGTTTCGATTCCATTGAGACAGTCAGCAGGCTCCTTGGTCAGGCTCAAAGGCTGGCAGTCACGAAGGCAGTTCAATAGCACCTCAGCAGTTATGTTACAGAGAGAGGGGTCCGTTCTGCTTTGGGACTGAATAAGGGGGAAGACCAGCAGGAGCCCCATCCGAGACGTGAAGGGAGCTTGCTCGGGTTGCTGCAACAAGCCCTGGCGTTTGAGCAGAGCCAATGTTTCCTCATCACCCGAACTTTCTCGTTCATGCTGTTCCTCCAAGGCCAGCTGGCGCTGGGCATTCCACAGTCCTCGTAAGGCATTCAGGCGGTATTCCAGCAGGCGCGCGTAGGCATTGCTCTGATTCCCACAAACAGAGCGCAGACGTTCGGCTAATTCCGTCGGGTTCTTGGTCTCAAATGTTAAAATCTAAGGGAAGAAACAAAGAAGTTGGTAGGTACTGTTTTCACCATGGCTTTCATCTATGGATGCAAATATATCCAATGGTCCACATACATCAGCTTAATTGGGGCCAAATATGAAACCATGTGCTGTAAAGCCAGGTATTTGCTGGGGATTTTTTTTCCCGTGGCGTTTCTGCTAGTGCTCCAATTAAAAGTAGTATCAGACCTAAGTTAAAGAAGCCAAATCATGAAAACAGTTAAGTGTGGAAGTCAGAAATTAATTCAAGTAATTTATTTTAGAAAATTGAGGTATAGGTCCTTATTAAATGCTTTGGAGTTAAATGTAAGTCTCTAACTCCCATTACCAGGTGGATTGTAAGTGAAAAGAACAAAATTTTATCTTCAGAATCGAATATACCTACTCATAAATGACTGATACTGTATTGTTCTTTGATTCTGAAGAACACTCCATTCTTACTACTGTTAATCCATTATTTCAATTGGTGACATGGTATAGATTTATTCAGTTCATACTGATAGAGGAATCACTACTATTTTCTTGCCAAAACATACAATTGCCAGAAGGCCTCTAGACTTTCAGCAGCTAGGGGAATAAAACCATTAAATCCTTAATCCTAAGACAGGAACCAGCTATCAAGATAAAGAATTTAACTTTATGATGCAAAAAGTTGATGCACAGAACTTCAACTAGGTTAAAACGAACAGACTATTGTAAGCAACAAAGGAGGGCACTCCAGGGGCAAGCACATTAAAACAGACTATCAGGCGCCAGGGGTATCTGGTTCTCAGTAGACCAGAAAGTCAGGGTGAGAAGAGGATTGAAATAAAAGCAAAGAAAATTCTGTCACGTCATTGGCACTGCATTTTAAAAGGTTATGGATCACTTTATTTCTCTCAGAAACCTGCAAAATACTTTTACTACTTCAAATTTTGCCCTTAAAAACTGTTAGCCCAATAAAACAACAAGAACTTCCAGAACAATGTAAACACTGTAACTGCCTTGCTTAGCTATATATGCAAGTCACTGAACTGAAAAAATGTTTAAACAACAAATTCTGGGGCATCCGCTGGCTCAGTCGGTAGAGTGTGCAACTTGATCTCAGGGTCATGAGTTCAAGCCCCACGTTGGGTGTGGAGCCTTCTTATAAATAATTCCAATTCAAAAAATGTACTTCATTTATTTGAAAAACATGTTCAGTGTTGAAAAAAAAGAAAAGGATAAACAATTTGAATTTCAGTGCCAGACTATCAGATCAGAAATAACATCCAAATGCCATAAGATTTCAAACAACTTAGCAATAAGAAGAAAAGAACCATTGAAACACACAACTTCAATGAATTTCAATGGCATTGAGTTGAAGGAAAGCAGCCTATTTCAAAAGGTTGCATCTGTAAGATTCCATTTAGGACTTTCTGGAAAAAACAGAATAAAACTATGGTGATGGAGAAGAGATCAGTGATTGTCAGAGGTTAGGGGAATAGGCAGGGTAGGACTAATATTGCGATAGTATGAAGAAGTTTTTCGGAATGAAGAAACTGTTCTGTATCCTGGTGGTGGTGGGGTGGTGGTGGTGGGGACGTGAATCTATAGGTGTTAAATTCAGAGAACAGTAAACCCCCTAAAAAGGTCAATTTAACTGTATGATAATTTTTAAACAAAAGGAAAAAAATTCCAACCAGGCTGTATCTGTATTCAACTAGGTACCATTGGGTAAAGCTATATTCCAAGTCATATTAAAATTAAAAACTAGGGCCATTTTTAGTTTTTAATACAACAACAATGTTTAAATGGTCTTTTACAATCAAGTCATACCAAACTGTATTTTCCTACCTTTTAACTGGATTCAAACACAAATCACCCTTTTGATTATTTTTCACATGGCAGCAGATAAAATAACTCAAGTTCCTTAAAAAAAAAAAAAAAAAAATCACATTTCAAGGGCAACCATCTACCTTGAAGCTGTAATCAATATCCAAGGAAGCTAGACTGCCTTTTTTTTTTTTCCTTCTAGGATCTCCCCTCAAAAATTAGCCTCCACCATTAAAATCAAAACCAAAGACTGAGATGATTTTAATGTTGTTAAAAGAATTAAGGGGCGCCTGGGTGGCTCAGTCGGCTGACCGTCTGCCTTCGGCTTGAGTCATGATCCCAGAGTCCTGAGATCAAGTCCTGTATCGGGCTCCCTGCTCAGCGGGGAGCCTGCTTCTCCCTCCAACAACCCCCCCCCGCCCCCGGCCATGCTCGCTCTCGCTCATGCTCTCTCAAATAAAATTGAAAGAAAAAACAACCCACAAAACTTTGTCTTCCTAGTTATGAACATCTAAAACAAATTTTAAGAGCTTTCCAGTATTGGTTTTGTGATTTTCACTCAACTCTGATATAAAATACATATGAAACACATAGGTGTTCCCCACATTTTATTTATGGTACACTGATCTACTTAGGTTATATGAAGCAACTACTAAAAAATTCAATAGACTTTTATTAGACCCAAGAATCAAAGAACAACTCAGTAACATTAAACCCACCGATTTCCTTTTATCAATCTTAAAGATAAGTGGTTCTAAAATGTGATATTTCATGGTTCATAATGACGTTTATGATTGAATCTATAGCTAACTCCAAACATTAAGACTAGCTGGAAAAAAAAAAAAAACCCACTATATAATACACTTCTGCACTTTCCTTGTGATTCTATTTTTATAAGTACTTCAGTTATATTTTGGCATTCCACTTGAAAGACAAATATTCTGAAAAGATAGGAGTTATAATTAACCAAATATTATATGATACACACACTTAAGTGACTTATGTTTATTGATTTAGCAGTATCTAAGGCACACTATGCTTTCAGAAATCCATTAGATTACTCAGCATTATCCATTCCAATGGCCCCTCATGAAAACGAAGAACCGTGCGCTTCACACTGCTGCTTTTCAGAATTCTAAGTTTGAAGGTCATGGCCAAAAATCATTTCATAAAGACATCATACCTTTGAGTTTTAGTACGTCAGCTATGAAGGATCTATTCTGGTACTTATGAATATTAAATAGATTTGTCTCAGATCCTCATATAAAACCACTGCTCTCAGTAACTGCTCTTAAAGAAGATAAAAAGACCAGAATGTCATTAGAAAATGAACACTTTTCTCTTTAAAAAGGGGGAAAACTACTTAAGGAAGGGAAGATCCCCATCATCCTTAATCAGAAGGAAGGGTCACTAACTGTACTTCAGTGATAATGAAGTCACCCAATGAACAGAAGAACTTTCAAAGTAATGTGTTGCATTAATTTTTATCATACATGACACACAAGTTTAAGCTAAGACAACAGCAATCATTCTGGAAAGCCTAACAGAAAGTAAGCAAAATATTCTTTGCCAGCCAAATCTGGCTTTGAACAAGACTCCAATATTTGACGTAAGAGCAGTTATAGAGGATCAGCTCATTTCAGCCAATTTCTCTCCATTTTCCATGTGGAAAAATACAAGAGTATGCACCCGCCAGCCATGATGTGAAATGTGAAATGTCAACACGCATTTCAAGTAATTGTCATAGTGAGAAAAAGCACAGAGAGGCTTTTGAAGTAGTAGAGAATGTTACAAATGAAGAAATTAACTAAACCAATAATTGACAGAAAAGATTAGGGCATCTTTCTAAGAATTTAACCTAAAAAAAATTTCAGAAATAAATGCACTGAAGTTTTATTATAGTGGAAAAAGTAGAAGCAATTTCAGTATCTAAAAAGGAAGTGTTCAGGAGCACCTGGCTGGCTCAGTCAGTACAGCATGTGATTCTTGATCTTGGGGCTCTAAGCTCAAGCCCCACGTTGGGTGTGGAGATTACTTAAAAAAATAAAATCTTAAATAAAAATTTAAAAAAATAGAAGGGAAGGGGCGCCTGGATGGCACAGGTCATGATCCCAAAGTCCTGGGATCGAGCCCCGCATCAGGCTCCCTGCTCAGAGGGGAGCCTGCTTCTCCCTCTCCCGCTACCCCCTGCTTGTGCTGTCTCTGTCAAAAAAATAAAATCTTTAATAAATAATAGGAAGTGTTCAATTAAAACATGACAATGGAAATTACACAATAACTTAAAGTTAAAACCAAAGAAAAAGAAAAATTATATACGCCCTGTAAGTAGGACTGTGTAAAACATACTTGTTCAATTTGAAATGTCATTAGTATTTGTGGTAATAGAAACATGGATTTTTCTCTATTAAAAAAAACCGTGATGACAAGTTAAATAGTCCATATTTAAGCAATCATAACTAAAAGGGATATTTTTCAAAAGCAAACGCTATCTTTAAATAACTGGTAGTCAAACAAATGGTGACACAATTGCTAGATTTTAAATGGGGGTGGAGGGGACAGCTGACAAAAAAAATCATCACAGTACCACAGGATATGCTGTCCTTAAATCCACTGACTAGTTCCATCTGTTGCACTTTGGCAGCAAATAACATAGGGCTGGTTAGATTCCTGGTTAGGAGGGAAGACTGAATGGTGGGATGGGGAAGACCACAGATATTGGGAGCTATCAATGAACAATAAAACCTTTCACTCTCCAAGAAGAAAGGATACTTAAAACCCAGGACTGTGCCCACCTCGGGAGCACATATACTAATACTCAGGATCACTCAAGCTCCAAACAGATGAATTACATTACTGTACTCCCTAGTATGGTACATTAACCAGTTCATTATATGTACCTGTCAGCATAAAAGGAATTTATACTTGGGTTATTATTTCAAAGCAGATCAACTGGCCAGACTTGCAAACAAAACTTTGCAGGAAAGGCTATAGAATATGGAAATCCTCTCAAATGCTAGAGTGGATTTTTAAACGCTTCTATAAGTTTTCCTACTTTTTTCACATTACGAAGATGGCAATCATGGCCAAACTGAATTGCATATGGTAATTTACAGGATGTAAGATCTCAAGTGAACCAAGTAAATGAATTGTGAATGGAAGGATGGAATTCTATCTCTAATATGAAAGGCTAAATC